CAGAACATGCGTACGATGTTACGTTGAGTACTGTTTCGTTATTGCGCACGCACGTATGTGTCAACGTTTCAATAGCCCCGGGGCGGCTTGCGAAATTGTTTCCGTGCCTTCAAACAAGTGAGCAGCACTTAGAACGAACTTTTATTGCCTCTGATTTCTCCTGCTTTCATTTTGGCTACTTTCCGTACTTTCGCCCAAGGAGTTCGTACAAGGTCTAACTGCAGTCGGACTAATCCGATAGTGTGCTCGAGGGCTTAGCATGCTGAGTGGCCTTCCGACACATCCGATTGGTTGAGTAGAGCACTTATCCTGTAGCTTGCGCGATATCGTTGCGCGCACGGCCTATGGACGGATCGATAGCGCCGCGAATCCATAATCATAATCCAGGTGTTTTAGTATTAACAGCGGCTAGACCATACTACATGCAACGTACAACATTGGCAAATCTCGAATGCGTCGCAGATAGTCGCGGCTACTGCGATAGTTGTCTGACTGGCCAGGTGTTGCAGTTGTCATGCCGTTGCTACGCCCCCTGCGTGCCTGTTGAAATTATCGCCTCCCACGCGCTTATCGCAGATGGTCTGCAGTCGAGTTGCTGACCCCCGAGGTTTCGTCATCTGTGTGGACTTTTGGGCAGTTCGGCTCGTCGACCTTGTCACCAGGACTAGTGGTCATCCACACGCTCTTTGCGTAGCCAAGGCAAAGTCTCCGCGCCGTAAAGGCAGCTGCAGGACCATTGAACCTATTGATTGATCGAGGACGGATAGAGCTCTTGTTCCTTGCGAGTTGGATTACCATTGAGCAGAATCCTAATATTTATTTATTGCCAGTTTACAGGCAAGGTCACAAGATATGTACAGTAGTGGATCGAGATGACAGTGAAAAAAACTCCTGATCTCTCTTTCTAGGATTTTTCGAAGGAAAAAACGGCAGCTCATTGAATGTTTGAAGTTCGGGACGGGGAAGAATTGACACGTGAACACAGTGTACTCAGTCTCCCTTAAGTGTTATGCACCCGGTATTTTGCACCAGAGAAATGTGTCGGCTGTCGGCTGAAGAATTGGCCGATTTCAGGCTGCAGATTCAGCATCATTGCCATCAGCATGAAGCCTGGCACAGGGTTCAAAGTCCATGAACGCCATCAGAATGGAAGAGATATTCCACCGAATCAGCACCTAAAATTCGTTGAAGTTGTTCTGAATGTGGAAAGATAGTGATACAGTAGTCGCCGGCTATTAAGCCCACGGTTAATAAGCCCGCCGCTTATTAAGCCCAATTTTGTCTGGGCCCGAGGTGGGCTTAATAGCCGGCGACCACTGTACCTCTCTTAAACTTCTGCGTTTTCATACTACTGGGTGGCTTATTCCAGATTGCAATGGCGTTTACTGGAAAAAACTGGCAGTATCTAACTTTGTGTGCGATAGGAAGCATTAAAATGACCTCTAGATGACTGGTGCGTTGAGAATGGTATAGCTGTCTCACATAACTAAGGGAACTAAAGGTACGACCGTTTAAAAGATTAAACATTAAAAAATAGTTCCGTCTGTAATCTGCACAGCCACAAGGGATCGAGGTTACTAAGTTCAAAATGTTATTGCTAGGACAGGTTGTGGTGTTCCGAAAAGAAAACTCTTTTAGTTAAGAACTGATTGAGCGATTCTATTTTATTCCGTTCACTAGTGTGCAGATGACTAAGTAGAAATGAGGAGTATTCCGGACTAAGTCCTACGTGCATAGTCTAAAGGCTGGTTTTTTATAGGCAAAACCACTGTCTCTAGCTTGTAGCACATGATCAAAGAAAGCTTCCTGGGACTGTGTCTTCCACACTGAAGCACAGACTAAATACTCGTATGCTCGAGAAACTTGAACTTTGAAACAGATTTCAAGCGACGCGCTATCCCTTTAAACTTCAGGCATACCAAGATGCCTGCGCTTGAATACGCCTTTTTTCTGTCCTCGACGAAACCACGCGCCGCCTAGCCGATGTCTCAGCACCGGATGGAAAGGCAGGAGACCGGTGCGCATGTTGATTGATTGATCAGTCTAGCAATTATCGCCACACATGCACCTATCTGCGGAAGCTGCCCATTGTCACAGTCGTATTATAAATACTGCATCAACTGACTGTGGCTTTGAGTGAAACTCCCAAACGTCGGGTTGATAAAGCTCTTGTTCCAGCATTCGTGACTGCCTCTTCGCGAAGTAGCAAGTTCGAGATTCTGACAGCTTTTGCGAATATATATCGAGGTCCACACCTTAGATTTCACCTTGTATCCTCCAGTTAGCAGACTTGCCATTCGCATTTTAAGAATCCTCTTGTTTATATTTTTGACAGGGCGTACGCCTGTTACTGGGGCCTTTAAATTCGTGGATGAGTGTGGCGTCTTCAAACATCTGCGAACTGAGCATCAGATTCCTGAGCAACAGCTCACCTCCAACCCCAAAGACTTCTGCATAGTCGGACGCGCCTGTTCTCATTGCAGTTTAGTTTGCTCATCTACTGTCGATCTGGCAAACCATTTCACAGTAAGTCTTCCCCCTGATCTCAGCTTTCTCACCCTGGGTTTCACCCTCCTCCCTCCCTCCCTCGCCCCGACCCCTCCTCTTCCCTCCTCACGCTCCCCTTCTTCCTCACTCTTTCGTTTTTTGTTGTATCTTATTGCTTAAAGTAATCTATGGTCTTGAAGTCTTTGCTGTCATTGAGTTACCTCAACTCTTCAATGGTTAATTTGAAAAGTCGGTTTATTAGGCAAAAATGTTTTCGGCAATTCTTCGTCAGGCCATGAACTTTTCAAAAAAATAAAACTTTGAACGCGTAGAAAAATCAATAATTGTCTGAGGTGGGCGCCGATTGGCCACTGCGGACTATGTCAGTCTGCGCAAGTAGGTGGGATTGGCGTGTTGGGTGGGCGACTGTCACTAGTGGGTGGGGGCTATGTGCTATCGTCACCTGGCGTCAGCGTTCCTGGCTCGGAAAACGCTGTCGCCAAACATAAAGTGATACAACAACTACCTACTTGTATAGTAAAAGTATGCATGTTTGAGTTCGGTTCGACTAATTTTGGGTGGACAGCATTTTCGGGGAGATTTTCCAAAATTGTTCAGCCGACGATAATAGGCTCGTTGCCTTGCCGACTTAGCCCGGAAATATTGATCTGCCTTGATGATGAACGCTTACCTATCCCTAATGAAACTCATTCCTCCCGTTCTGCCAGCCCTCCCTACACCTTCCTTCTCATCTTGCCTTCTCGTTTTTGTTTTAGGCGACGCACTGTCGCCTTGGCTGCGGCGGTAGCGGGAGCACTAACGCCGCTGCCGATGGAAGTACGTTGGCAGGCCCTCAACCTTGCGAGTCGCAATGCTACTTCTGTTGCTTTAACGGTTGCCGAAAAGTCTTCGCCAATGCGGAGGAGTTGCGCCAGCATCTCACTTTCTGTCCTGAGGCCTATCGGGACCTCACCGTGACTT